AGTGCCACAACGATGCCACCCGAAGGTTGCAGGAACAGCAACTCATATTCCGCTTGGGAACCCTGCAGCCCAATGGTATCAATGTGGATTTCACAAGTTTCAAAATCTCCCCTCCCCCTACCGCATCCCAAAACCAGTCCAGCTCGTCCCTGCCTCCCTAACCTGTTCTTCCTCCCACCTATCCCCTCCTCCCACCTCAAGCCGCACCTCCATCTCCTACCGACCAACCTCATCCCAGCCCCTTGACCTGTCCGTCCTCCCTGGACTGACCTATCCCCTTCCTAACTCCCTACCTTCACTCACCTTTACTGGCTCCATCCCCGCCTCTTCGACCTGTTTGTTTCCTCTCCACCTATCCTCTCCTCTATCCCTCTTCTATCCGCCTCCCACTCTCTCCCTATTTATTTCAAAACCCCCTTCCCCTCCCCCTTTTCTGATGAAGGGTCTAGGCCCGAAACGTCAGCCTCTCTGCTCCTATGATGCTGCTTGGCCTGCTGTGTTCATCCAGCCCTGCACCTTGTTGTCTCTTCCTACTTTAGTGAGCCAGTTAAGTTTAATTACAATGGGCTAGTTATTGTGCAGAGGACTGATGTCAAGTGTCTGAGGTGGATTTAAAAAAAAACTTGTATTTTAAGTAAATGAAAAATGTTTGGAGGGATATGGGCCAAGTGCAGGCACTGGTATAGTTTAGTTTGGGATTATGATCGGCATGGACTGGTTGGAGCGAAGAGTTGGTGTCTGTGCTCAATGACTCTGAGAGAAGCATTAGTATATGGTATCCACAAAGTGATTTGTATCCAATGGCATCCCACAACCACAAGGAAGCCTACAATCTGCATAAAGTTGTGTGCTTTCTTCTACCTGAATTGAATATAGATGGTCTCATTGAATCGAGTCTCAGTGATATTCCTTGCACAACCAAACGTCTCCCAGCTCCTGGTACAAACATCATGGTCAGTGCTCGGAGGCTGCTCACGTGTCATCAGAAAGTGACAAATGAGGATGTCCTTTCTGAAGCATGAATGCCTTACTTTTCTCCTTCACCAATGTTGCCACAGGATAACTGCATCCTGAATACCTTCCTGCTGAGCTCTTCCCTCCCCCCACCCCCTCACTTCTCTCTTCCAGATGCTCTGGGCCACTTCCATTCACATAGTCATGGCTAAGCTTCTGCACCAAATCCACTGGTGTTTCCTCATTTTTCATGACACCAAGAAGATCAACACCTATAGATTTTTATCTTGAACATGGTCAACAGCTGAGTGACAAAAGTTCACTAAACAGCCACACCCTGATTCTATTCTATCATCCAGCATTCCAGACTTTCAGCCAGGAGTAACTGGCCTCTTGAGCACCAATCTTGGCAAACCCTCAAAATGATTTTACACATTTCTTAATCCTCCTATTTCTGAATTCTACAGGCCAAGTCTGCTCAATCTAACGAACCTATACCGTGTTGTCCCTAGGCAAGTACTTATTTCCTGAGGTAATGAGACCAAAACTATACACAATGCACCAAGTGAGATCTCACCAAGATCTTCAACAGTTCCAGAAAAGCTTCTGAACTCTCAAATCAGTGCATTGAGTATAGGAGTTCGGAGATCATGTTGCAGCTGTACAGGACATTGGTGGCCACTTTTGGAATACCGCGTACAATTCTGGTGTCTCCCTTCTGAAGGAAAGATGTTATGAGACTTGAAAAGGTTCAGAAAAGATTTACAAGGATGTTGTCAGGGTTGGGGGGTTTCAGCTATAGGCAGAGGGTGAATAGGCTGGGACTATTTTCTCTGTGGTGTGTCAGAGGCTGAGGGGTGATGCTTGTAGAGTTTTATAAAATCATGAGGCACATGGATAAGGTGAACAGCCAAGATCTTTTACCCAGGGTGGATGAGTCCAAAACTAGAGTTAATGTGAAAAGATTTAAAAGGGACCTAAGGGACAACTTTTTCATGCAGAGGGGCAGTGCATCAATGGAATGAGTTTCCAGAGGAAGTGGTGGAGGCTGGTACAATGACAACATTTGAAAGGCATCTGTATGGGCACATGAATAGGAAGGGTTTAGAGGGATATGGACCAAATGCTGGCAAATGGGACTAGATTAATTTAGGATATCTGGTCAGCATGGACAAGTTGTACCGCAGGGTCTGTTTCTGTGTTGCACATCTCCATGATTTTATATCCCAGTATCAAGGCAGGTCCCTAGTAACAAATAGTGAAGAAAGGTAAAGTCTCCAAGAGCAAAGGCATTATGTCAGCTGCTGGGGTTGAGATGAAGGAATCTGCTACAGAGAGGTGACTTACAATCAGCCATTCAGCTCACCCTGCCTTATGTGCCTCTTTGAAAGAGCTTCTTAATTATTCACAACCCCCTTCCTCTTTCCTCATGGTCACACAACTCCCCTTCGGTCTTTAGCCGATTCATTTCTCCAAAGGCATTTCACACTCTGCTCCCACAGTCCTTTCAGACAGTGCATTCCAGACCATCATAACTGTCTGCATCACATAAGTGGTTTCTGCTTCTCAGTCATTCTGGTTGGAAGAGTGAGGAAAGGCAATGTAAATTAAATGGTATCATTTTCAACTGGATACAGGAACAGAAGGCTGGTTTTACTGAGCTTTCTGGTGACAGATTTGGTGATGGGGGCATTTGATCAGGTGAGGGGGTCTGGGAGAGGCTTAGTGGATGGTCTCCCCAAATTGTCACCAATTAAAGCCCTTAAGTCAATAATTAATGTCCAGTAAAAGGCAATATGCCATGGCTTTAACCCAATATATGGTAGAAGCCTCACCATCTTATTATCCTCAGTCACTGTCCTTTGGTTACTGACCCTCCTGCCACTGGGAGCAGTTACTCCCTATCTAGTTGCTCAAAGCCCTTTGCAATTTTGGTGTATTTAAATATTTCCATTCTGTTCTCCGTTGAAAGATGGCAACTCCAGTTTATCCGACATAACTGAAATACTTCATCCAAATCTCCTCTGCATCTTTTGTTCTTTAATAGCTTAAAGAAATAAGACACACCACTTCCTTGCTCTTTGCTCTCTTTTGCTCTTCCTTATAAAGCCAAGGATCTCATATTATTTTCTAACACTTTTACAAATACCTTGCATTCCACTGGACAGCCTCCAGCCTTGAGTTTTGCCTGGTGCTTAGAAAGTTGATGGAAATCCTACGGTGTTACCTTCCAGAAAGGCCCACTGGTCAAATATCCACCGGGCACTTAACTAGACAGCAGCAGGCCTCCTCTCGGATGAAAGACCTTAGAAGGAGAAGTCCTGACTCTTGAGAATGCTGACCAATCACAGACCAGCAGCTGCCAGAGTAACTCACCAAGTGATGACCCACTAATGTCACCAACGGTCGCTTCGACTTCCAACATCTCATTCCTCCTTGTTATTTGTGCAGCTATCCCACATGTTTGCCTGGTGGAACAGGGGTGATGCTTGCTGACTGTGGGGCTGCTGTTGCACTGTGTTACCACACGGGTCTGACTGACCAGGAAACTCCATCGCTGACCGCCTGCCATAGCTGTATAGATTGATAATCAAACTATTTGGCCACATTATGATACCTCCTGTGGCCATTACATTCTGAGACAGGACTTAAGACCATAAGTAGGACCAGAAGTAGGCTATTCAACCTATTGAGTCTCTCTGCCAATCAATGAGGTTGTGGCTGATCTAACAGTCCTCGGCTCCACTTTCCAGCTTCCCAATACAGATTGAAAATCTGTCTCTCTTGGCCTTGAATATACTGAACAGCCCAGCTTCAACAGCCCTCCGGAGTAAAGAATTCCGCAGATTCACTATCCTCTGAGAGAAGAAATTCCTCCTCATCTCTGTGTTAAATGTTTGACCAACATTTGAGCTGTGGTCCTGAGAATACGCCTTCTGGTCCTGAGAATACGCCTTCTGGTCCTAGACTCCCCCGCAGCAGCTACAACCTCTCTACAACTACTCTAGCAAGTCTCCTAAGAATCTTGTATGTTTTAATAAAGTCACCTCTCATTCTTCTAAATTCCATTAAATACAGGCCTAACCTACTCAACCTCTCCTCATAAGGTAGTCCCTCCATACTTGGTATCAGCCTGGAGAACCTTTTCTGGGCTGCCTCTAAGGTCATTAAATATTCTCTTCGATAAAGGGACCCAAAATTATTCACAGTATTCTAGGTGTGGTCTGATTAGTGTTTTGTATAGTTTTAGCAAAACCTCCCTGCTATTATAGTCCATTCCTTTTGAAATAAGGCCAACGGTCCATTTGCCTCCCCATTACCCACTGAATTTGGATGCTAGCTTTTTGTGTTTGTTGGATGAGGACTCCAAAACCTCTCTCCTGTAGCTTTCTGCAGTCTTTATTTAAATAATATTCAACTCTTGTATTCTTCCTGCCAAAGTGCATAACCTCACATGCCATGTTTGTGTGCACTCATTTAGCCTGCCTACATTGATCTGCAGATTCTTTGTGCCATCCTTACGCCTTGCCTTCCCACTTATTGTATCATCTGCAAACTTGCTGATGGTGCATTCACTTACCTCATCCAAGTCATTAAGATATATTGAAAATAATTATGGGCCCAGCACGGATCCCTGTGGCACTCCACAAGTTACAGGTGGCCATCCTGAAAGCGCCCCTCTTATTCTAACTCTCTGTCTTCTATTAGTTAGCCAATACACTATCTCCAACATCTTATTAATCATAGAATCCCTACAGTGTGGAAACAGGCCCTTCAGCCCAACAAGTCCACACTGACCCTCAGAGCATCCCACCCAGACCCATCTCTATAACCCACCTAATCTACACATCTCTGAACACTATGGGCAATGTAGCATGACCAATCCACCTAGCCTGCACGTCTTTGGACTGTGGGAGGAAACCCACACAGACACAGGGAGAATGTGCAAACTCTACACAGACAGTCGCCCAAGGGTAGAATCGAACCCGGGTCCCTGGCGTTGTGAGGCAGCAGTGATAACCACTGAGCCACCGTGCCGCCCTTTCTCTGTTCCTTATTTTTTCAATCCTAATTCATTTCTCTCAGGTTGAGCCACTCGACTAATTATAATGCAGAATTTGTCATGGGAAGTGAATAGTACTTCACAGGCACCATGTTTATCCATAAAACAGTTATATAGGTTTATCTACCAGATTTTATAGCATTGAATGCTCCAATTCTTCTTACTACACATATTATGATGTCTCTGTGAAATGCATGCAAATTATTTCTTTTCGAAACAAATCTTTTTAAAATACCTGGGCACACCAAGTAAAGTTTGAGTCTTTGAACTTTACCATGAACTGGAGGTTAACATGCCTGCTAACGTGCAATTCATTCATTGGTTCCATCTCTAATACAGAATCCTCATCATAAGACTCCGCTGTGTCAACGGTCTCTAGCCCAATTTGTGATGCCTTATTGATCATCATCTGGATGTCCAAATATATTACATCCACTGCTTCCCTTTTATCTAACCTGTTTATTATCTCCTCAAAAAACATCCAGTTGGTTAAGCATGATGTCCTCTTCATGAAGCTATGATGACTCTGTTTGATCACATTATATATTTATAAATGCTTTACTATTGTGTCTTTTATGATGGACTGTAACATTTTCCCATTCTCAGATGTTAAGCTAATTGGCGTACAGTTATCTTTTTTTGTTGCCTTCTCTCTTTAGATAAAGGTGTTGATTTGGCAGTTTTCAAAACCACTGGCTTTTTTTCCAGTATCTAAGGATTCTTGGAAGATTGCTACCAAAACATCCAGCGCAAACATCATAAACTGAGGAAATGCGAATTCATTGGAATGACTGATATTTTCACATTGTTGTAATCTTTTGCTTGGTGCTATTTATATTTCAGTGTATCTCTAATTGAGAGCACTTGTGATCCGAGAATCATCAAATCACAGACCTCATTACAGCAGAGGGAGGCCATTCTGGTGGTCTAGGTTATGTAGGCTTTTCGCAGGAGTAACTTAGATCAACCCCACCCTCCCACCTTTCCCCTAACTCTGCATCTTTTGTTCTCTTTTAATGTTCATCCAATTCCCTTTTCAGAGGTATGCTATTCCCTGGTCTCAGCCAATAACATTCCAGATCCCAATCACTCATAGAAACATAGAAACTAGGAGCAGGAGTAGGCCATTCAGCCCTTCGAGCTTGCTCCACTATTAAATATGATCATGGCTGACCATCCAATTCAGTCCCCTGTTCCTGCTTTCTCCCCATACCCTTTGATCCCTGTAGCCCTAAGAACTAAATCATTTCTCCTTCTTGAAAATATTCAAAGTTTTGTCCCCAATTACTTCCTGTGGCAGAGAATTCCACAGGCTCATCACTCCCTTGGTAAAGAAACTTCTTTTCGTCTCAGTCCTAAATGGCCTATCCCATATCTTTAAACTGTGACCCCTGGTCCTGCCTATTTTTTTGTTCAGTTTCCTTAAATTGTTATCCTCTGGGTCTCAGTGCTCTTTCCACACAGCTTCACAGTTTCTCTCTCTGGACTCTGACTAGACCCCTAACAATTTTGAACACCTCAATCAAAACTCCTTTTATCAATTAGGTGGCACGGTGGCTCAGTGGTTATCATTCTCCCTCTGTCTGAGTGGGTTTCCTCCAGGTGCTCCGGTTTCCTCCCACTGTCCAAAGATGTGCAGGTTAGGTGGGTTGGCCATGCTAAATTATCCATAGTGCCCAGGGATGTACAGGCTATGTGCATGAGCCATGGGAAATGCAGGGTTACAGAGATGGGATGGGTCTGGATGGGATGCTGTTCAAGGGTTGGTGTGAACTTGATGGGCCGAACTGCCTCCTTTCACATTGTAGGGATTCTATGATTCTCTTTCCCAAGAAGGACAGTGCCAGCTTCTCCAATTTATGCATGTAACTGAAGTTCCTCATTCCTGGACTGAATCTCCTCTGCACCCTTTCTAAAAGCCTTTACATTTCCCTGAAATGCGTCCATAATTAGAAACAACACGATGTGGTCAGGGCAGCATTTTCTAATAGTCCCTGCATTGAGGGTGCTTGCAAAAGAAGAAAGTCCCAGGGCCCTGAAGCTGAGAAGATAGGTCTGAGGGAAGCAGGCACAACTTTGGGGCAAATATCTTTAGCCTTGAGCAGCCCTGAAGTCCCCATAAACTATTGTATTCCACGTGGAATCCGAGGAATGCGCTCTGCTCAGAGCAATATCCTGAGGTGTCAGACAGATAAGAAGGAAACCATCCTGCACCTACACACTGTGAGGTAAAAAAATTCAATTTTCATAAAAAATAATTTATTTCTAAATTGCACAATAGTAAGATTTTCCCATCTGTGCGGTGCAGCCAGTATGAAGGTCATGTGTATCAGGAAGCAGAAAAGAATCACGATTCCCTTGGTGCTTTCAGTCTGACCCTCACAGTGAGGAGGAAGAGCGAGAGAGAGACCTCAGTCTGTATTGTGCCTGAGGAAGTGGGGCATCACTCTGGGCTCCCGTATTTTTTCTTGAGCTCTGTGCCTTGGCGTGTTTCCCAACATGCTCTGCCCACAGCAGGGCCCTTTCTGTGGTAACAGCCCCCCCCAAGTCTGAACTTTGCAGCCAGTTTCTGGATCATCGGAATGCGGTTCTCTCTCCAGCGTAGTCACCCGCGGGTATTTCCAACGATTTCCAACTTTTCTCCTCACGGTGGTTTGGTATGATCTCCAAGCAATGCCCTTGCTTCCCCCCCCTCATTCTCGAGGGGTTGCAAGGAGTCAGGTAATGGGAGTTTCTGATATTCTGACACAGGTCAGTAACCAGGGCACAGATAGGTTTTTAGTCACCAGAGATACAACAGCAGTTTGATCTCAAGCCTGAATGGCTCTGCAGCCTTAATCGTCCTCATAGTTACCAGAGTTCACATTCACTGATGGATAAACCTTGAACTGCGACAGGAAATCGATTAATGAAGCCCTCTACTCTCGGCTCACTGGCTGACTGTCTTAATCCCTTCGAAGGCGCAGAATTTCCACCTCTTCTCCAGTGTGGCACCGACACCAGTGAATTCCTGTTTAAACATGTGCGGCAGCTGGGAGAGCAACATCTCGATCTCACCCGAAGATATCTGCAAGGCAAAAGCCGGACCGGGAGGTTAGTGAGCAGAGAGCTCCCAGACGCGAGCGCCCACTTCGAAGGGGCTGCCGTGGTGCCAGGTGGCCTCCCGCATCACCCCACCCCTCCAAATACCACCCCAAACCATGGAGAGTCTCACACTTTCTCCCTGTGTTGCATGGTGCACTGTCACTTCACATGCACGCTGCCTGGTATAATACACACTGACTGCTACATCATGGTTCAGAAATGCTGAATAAGGCAGGGCTGATGTACATTTAGTTGACATCATTTGGAGCTCTGTACTCCTGGGTGATGAAACAACTAACTTTGTGAACTTAGAGATAGTAAGAACTGCCGATGCTGGAGTCAGGGATAATACAGTGTGGAGCTGGAGGAACACAGCAGGCCAGGCAGCATCAGACGGGCAGGAAAGCTGACGTTTTGGGTCGGGACCCTTCTTCAGAAATGGGGGAAGGGGAAAGGAGCTCAGAAATAAATCAAGGGGGTTGGTGGGGCTGGGGAAGGTAGGTGGGATGGTGATAGGTGAGTGCAGGTAGGGAGTGGTGGGGATTGGTCAATGAGGTAGGAGGGAGAAGATGGACAGGTTATGTCAGGTCAAGGAGGTGGGGATAAGAAGGAGGGCTGGCCATGGGATGAGGCCAGGGGTGGGGAGATTTTAAAACTGGTGAATTCCATATTAAACGAGAGAGAGTTCAGAAGAGATTTACCAGGATGTTGCCAGGAATGGAGGGTTTGAGTTATAAGGCAAGGCTAGATAGGCTGGGACTATTTTCACTGGAGCGTAGGAGGTTGAGAAGTGACATTTTAGGGGTTTATGTAGGTTAGATGGGCTTCAGATTGGTTTCACAGGTCGGCGCAACATCGAGGGCAGAAGGGCCTGTACTGCGCTGTAATGTTCTATGTATTATGTTCTATGTTTAGGCCATCGGGCTGTAGGCTCCCAAGGTGGAATATGAGATGCTGTTCCTCCAGTTTCTGGGTGGTGTCATTGTGACACTGGAGGAGGCCCAGGATGGACATGTCGTCCAGGGAGCGGGAGGGGAAGGGGGAGTTGAAATGGTTGGTGACTGCGTTGTTGTCGATGCTCTACAAAATTGTCAGGTGAGTCAGTTGCGAGAATGATTTTCTGCTCCTTCCCCATATGCTATGTGTGACATATAAAATACAATATCGACTGAGGAGGACCCTGCCTCGGTGCCATTATTCAACGCCAGCATTTGTGATGTGTGCCTGTCTGCTGGATTCTGCCTCAGTGCGTACTTGTAAAAGTCCCAGTCACCCCACTCATTTAGCGAGCCAATTCATCGCCGTCTTGTGTTTTCCTGACAAATTGCAGGAACTCCCCAACCCTATCCATCGATTCAGAATTAAATCAGACGCAGTCCCGTGACTTTCTAAAGGCCGATACTCCCAGCATGTCCCTTGAGTCTCTGAGGACCACGGGACTAGACCCTGTACTGCTAAAGGAGGAGAAACAAATGTTACCACAGCAACAGATTCTCCCAGCGTTTCTCTTATCGAAGGAAGACATGCAAAATAAACGTTGAAGAGACAGTATTCTGAACTGAAAGGGCAAACCTTCTTTTCAAAGCAAAATAACTCGTCAAGTATCTCCGAAGGAGGATGGGATATTGAAGGTTCAACCGAGGAAGGCTCCAAACAAAACCGGAACTGAGGAGGGTGGACAGCCCAGTTAGCAGCTCTGGGGAGAGATGGCTGCACTCCGCAGGGATCCAAATCATCCTCAACGTTAGCTGGGAGAGCTGCCACTAAAATGCTGGGTGCCCCGCTTATGCCAGGAGGGGTTGTCCAATAGGTTCAGGGCCAGACATCTCCAAAATCGGTTGACCATTTGGCTTTGCCTTGTAAATCCAGACAGAGACACAATTGAGTGGTACCTGTGGCTGGTAGCTACAGGCAGTCCCTGAACAGGAGGGGGGTGGTTATAGAGTCTGGATTGCAGGTAGGTCAGTGGACCAGCAAGTCCCAGATGAGGGAGGGTGGTGGTGTTAAGTTGGTGGGGGGGGGGGGGGGGGGGGGGGGGCAGGGTGGTGCAGGACAGGATTGAGAGCCTGGAGGGGTTTAAGGGAGGGGTGTGACCTTGTGGGATGGGGTGGCACTATCCGGCATAGGGAAACACCCCACCCCCCCCAATCCCTCCACCATCACAAAGGAAATCTCCCCCTGCCTCTACTCAAAGCCCTGTTAAAGCGCCTGGACCCCTCAGTGGGAGTGACCCACCACTCTGTGTGGGTCAGACAGTGGCCAGGCCGAGGCTCTGAAGTGGTTTCACTCGGGCACAAAGGAGATGGCACACCCACCCCAATGGGTCGCAACTCCCGCAAAATGGAGCACAGGTCGGGGTGGGCAGGCCATGTGCTGGTGTGCCTGCCAACTCCCACCCTGAAGATCTTTGGGGTGTCGGGGGAGGCCTTAAAATATAGTCTAGAATTTCAGCATAGCTCCCAGTGGGCTGAAATGTCCACAGCTTCACAGAGACAGGGTCAGAGGTGGTGGTCACTGGGGAAATAGAGGGACGGTAGGTGGGTGAGGGGTGGGGGGAGGGGAACGGAGATCCCCATTGACTTTTCAGAGGCAAGGATATGGGGGTGGGTGGGTAGGAGGAGGCGAGTCTGTATCCCATTCCAAGGGGTCAGACAGATGTTTGGACCACCTACAGGCCATTTTCAGAAAGGGGCCAGCCCCAGCATTCTCTCCCTCACTACTCCCCGTGTGTGTGTGTGTGTGTGTGTGTATGTGTGTGTGTGTCTGTGTG